ATAGATGCGTTATGAAAGATTGTTGCATTCGTTAGATTATCCCAATATACTAAAATTGCATCTATAATTTTTAATTGTTGCAATCCTTTCTAAATGGTTGAGTGTAGACTGACGAAATAAATGGAAGCTCTAACAAGGAACTATTAAATGCTGGAATCTTTGTCTGACTGCAAAAGTTAAAGTGGTTGACCCACTGCGCCCCCACATGCTGACAACATTAATAGCCCTACAGATCCTATTTTATGCGTTCAAAAATGAGGTAAAAACATAGAGCCATTAGTGTCGGAACATAATTGGACATTTTAAAAAATTAATAAAAAAATCAACAAATTCCAATTTCAACTGAGTCCATGTTTAAGCCACATTATAAGAATAAATACATTATTCATGTTAAATTAATAGAAAATATATGATTCAAAATAAGAAATTTTTTTAAATTTACGTGTAATATTATTTAATTGAAGAATGTGTGGTTAAAATGATATCAAATTATTGTTGAAAAATATATTTTTTTGAAAATAATGTGACTTAAACAAGTCCTAAATCAGTCCGTCCACTGATTCCTCTTTTTTTAACCTATCTGACTAGCTTTATTCATTTTATTACTTGACCTTTCATATTTAGAATTTGTTTGAGCCCATTAAATTGGAAAATGTATTTTAATGAAAAATGTGTTGTTAAAAAATAAGGAAATTTTTTGAAATTACGTGTAAAATTATTTTATTCAAAATTATATGGTTGAAAAGAAGAGAGAAAATATATTTAAAAAAAAATAAGAATCAAACAAGGCCCTAGCAATGTTTGACTACGAATGAAATCAGATTTAGCCTCCATTGGTTGGATACTAAAATCAAATTTTTAGTAGGCCCCTATTTGTCACGCATTATTTGGGAAATTAAAGAGTTTTGAATAGTATTTTTTGAATAATGTATGATTAAAAAATGAATAAACTTCCTTGATTTATGTATATAATATTTTATTGTGTGAATATGTAATGGAAAATAATACTATAACAAACAATTTAAAATTTTAAAGGGGACCAAACATGCACTAAATTTTGATAAAAGTTGATGAAATGAATTATTAAAAAGTTGTGGATCATATAAAATATATGGCTAAAATTAATTATTGACTTTGATTTAAATTAAAATAGATACCAAACAAGAGTTTAGTAGATTTTTATAAAAATAAATAAAATGTATAGTCAAAAATTTATTCATCCCATAAAATATATTGTTAAAATTAATTTGACTTAAATTAAAATCTTACTTTTAATTTTCACCAAATATAAACTTAATTTTCAATGATCTAAATATTGAGCATTAACGTAAAAAGAGAACCGAGAGTCGATTTAGAGGTTGGTCGGAGATTGGTAGTAAAAATTTTAAATAAGTAAGTAAAAGCAAAAATTAAAAGGAGAATCGTGCAACACATTTTGAGAGAATTGGTCAGGTTTGACTATTGAATCGACCTAATACCGTGTGTACAAGTCAGTTTAGTCAGTATTTTAATAGTTAAATTTTTTTCGATTTTTACATTAGGATTGAATATGCTTCTCGACTAGCATAAAGCTAGTGTGACAGGCTTCTAAACAGGGTAAAATACAAAATTTTGAAAATTTAGACGTGGCATGTTGACTTGCATTTCTTTTCATTCTACACAATACAATACAATAATGGAAGCCTGTTAGTTGCTTTCTCTCTCCAATTAACATGTTCGTTCAAAAGGCCCCCTCTCTGAAATTTTAATCTTTTAATTGAAAATTCTCCCATTTGATTAGTTCACCTTTTTAATTGTGAAATTTATGAAAGAGCGGAGAACCTTAACTTCAACTCTGGTCGACACACAACCCACCGTGTCCGATCGTCGGAGACCCAATTTCACGAAAGAGCATAGAAGCTGTAACTTCAACTCTGGTCGCCACACAACTCACCATTGTCTGGTCAACGGAGAGAGAACGTCACACTCGTTGCCGGAATTATTTTCCCTCCGCGAGACCCGTCGGCATTCGCTACCGTCTTTTTGCAAAATCATCACAAACACCAGTCAATTACCATTTGTAGGTAGATATTTTTCCATTTCATCTATTATGACATCCATCTAGAGAATCGATTTTCATATACGGTCCTCCACATAATATTGGACCTCCCATTTTGTTGTGATTTTTTACTCTTGATTTATGAAAATTTATTTTCATTAGCTTATTCGGGTTGGGTATTCTAACTAATTCTGATTTGTGTGTTTCATTGAAAGTATACATAAATGAGTTCACATTTGTCGATGGTGGTTTATTCCCATCGTAGAATGCTCGGGAGGGTCTCTGGAATTTGTCAAAGTTGTAGAGCTAAAGACCATTTCTTTGATGATTGCAAAAAGAAAGGACCTTGTACACGATGTAAGCATGAATTCGAGAAATGTTTTGTGGCGAAGAAGGATAATAAGAATAAAGGAAAATTATTCCTCTGCTACAGTAAGAATTGTGGATTTTGGGAATGGGTTGTGAAAGGCGAATCAAGCGGTCAATCCAGTTGTGGTGGCGCTACCTTTGTTAACCCTACGACACACGAAACAGTTGACGAGATGTCTAGCATGTTTGAATCTTGACTTCAGATAAGTGACGAACAACAGCTCCAGATTTCGATGAATGTGACCATTCGGACGATAAAAATAAGCCAGGAATTGAATGAAAAGGGGAAGCGGCCAGCTTGATTAGAAGAGAGTGATTGCAGTATTTGAGAGATGTTTGTATGCATATGATTAATATGATGCAAAATCTTAACATTCATCTTTTTACATGTGTGTCGTGTTTGTGAAATAATAAAATCGTTGAAGTTTTTCCTTGTTGTAGTGTAGCCTATCTTGAAGCTTGATTTTGTGGTGTAGTTTATGGTTTTATCCTAGCTATGTGCCTGGAAAGTGCTACTACGATCACTCAAGAATTAATTATTTTTTTCCTTCCATATGTGTGGTTGTGTGAATTATGTATTTTTATGTGTTCTTAAGGTGAAAAATATGTATCAAAACGATCTTATATTGGTGTAATCAAAGATGTCTATACAGATAGTGAGGTGCTACCAAGCTATCTTGTATCATCCACAAAAACTAATTCATATCAAACCGTATGTGTGCTTTAGTGCCATCAAAAACCAATTCATATCTTCACTTAATTAGAGTTTGGTACGTTTGAGAGAGAAGAGTTTTTGAGTAGTGTTGCAACTTTCAAATTGAACTTTTAGGCCCAGCATGTATTCCTAATTATGCAAATTTCACAATTAAAAACTAGTTCTAAATTTCAACAAAACGGAGCTGGAAATACATTTTAGCGACGGTTTGGATAGTCTTGCAAATAAAATTGGAAATACCATGAAAGATCTTGACGGACGCATTGTGGTATTGCTTGAACTGTATTTGGGGTTTTCTCATTACAAATTAACAAAATAGGCAAAACAACATGTAGACCGATTCAAACAACAGCAAAGATAACAAAAACTTCTATCTAAATAATTAGCTCTATTTCTTTCGAAGGTACCAAAACGATCCAACAGTTGATCCTAAGTTGTTTATAGACATGAAGAGTGCAAATAAAGTTCCTTCAATCCCAAGTGGACAAAGCTGTCCTCATAAGATGAGGAAAGGCATGAACCTGTGATGAAATAGAAAATTGAGTGAGTGAGATAACCGCAAGAGTTCAAGATTTATGGTCTGGTTATTTATAAATACATAAATCCTATTACATAGCCAATCAAGTAAGTATGGATAGCTGATAGTAAATGAAATGTATGATTGTAACACAAATAAATAGATAAAGGTAATGCATGAATTCTTGATTTGGGGTATAACAATCTATTGCAACAAAAACCAACTTTCTGTTACCAAATTTGAAATTCATACTTCAATTGATTGATGCCGTTTGCAAGAGCTGAAGCAAAAAGCACCATGACCTTGTTTGATATGCCTAATGAAATATTTGATCTAGGCACCGAAACTCCGTCCAGAAGAATCAAAATAGACAACCCAAGATGAGCGCACCTGTAAAATATTCATAGATATCAAAGAATATATTATTTAATAAAAAATACATCCCTTGATCTTCTCTTCATTCATTTTTTAAGACAACAAATAAAAAAACAAGTATATGAACACCCATGGTCTAACATTTCAAGTCTATGCCACAAACCTCACCTTACTTTCCTTTGTCACTTTGATCCAATAAATTTTGTTAGTAGTATGACATTACTTCACCTACAATAAAACACCATATGACTAGTTAATGTTGTATCCATGAGATAGTGAAGTTTAAATTCACAGCTCAACACATGTATATACCTTGTGGATTGTACATAACGATTGTCAAGGATGGACGAATGTTATTTGTAGTCTGTAAATGTTGTGGAAGAGATAATGGTGTGGGCATTGATCGTTGTGAAAATGAAAGTGGTGTTGGCATGGAGTCATGCAAATATAACATTGGGGTCAACATGGAATATTGGTGAGGTGGCCGAGTGTTCGTTCCACCGTCAACCATATTGCTATTGTTATTTCTCGATTTCTTACTTGTGCTTCCGGATTGCATATGCATCGAAGTTAACATATATTCATCCTTATTGTAAGTATGAAGTAAACATTCGAACTTACCTTCGCTTAATTCGAGGCCGTCTCCAACAGGTTTTTTCTCCGAAATTTTTTTGGCGCACCCTTTTGTTGGGCCAATTTTACGTTTTCGCTCGCAGTTGTTGAACCATCCTCACAATGAATGGGTCTCAGCTGGTTTTGTTATGATACATCGAGCACTCAATTTTGTAGTTATAAGCTCTTCAAGTTGACATATAATCCCCTCCATTATCGCTCGTAACAGCGTTTCATTGTCTACAGCAAGGTCTGCCACCTGCGCAAAAGCCTTAAGACATCTCTTCATGTCTCAACTGTGCAGGAGTACTAACTAACCCTGTGTAATTTACTGCAACCCTCATGTGTGCGCTGATAACATCTCTCTTCCATCTTCACAATATGTAGCTATTCGGAATGTATGTGACATCGTTGCAGATCAGCACTGTGATAGCATGCCTACAAAGTATTCCCCGAAATTCAAACAAATGGCAGCTACAAAATATGTCATATTTATCTCTCTGGAATGAGACGATGAATGTTTTCCTCCTACGACCACCTTCGTAAATAATACACTCCCGTACATCATACGTCGTATAAGAACTTTCTTCCGTTGTAGATACGACGTCGCAGTATACCTTTCTCGTGAACTCTTCTTGAATTTCTTTCAATTTTGAAATCGTGTAAACTGACCTATCCTGTTCCTCGATTTCAAATTGTGTTGCGCATGGTACCATTTTAGAGAATGACTTGAAATGAGCATGAAACTCCTTTTCAACCTTATTCCTTAAAGCTCGCTCATATTGTTCGACAAACTGCTTCAATGAAGTCTTCAAATACACATACCCATCGAAGAAGGCACTCATGCTCTCACTTCTCTACGTTGTTGACATCCTTGCCCAGAAAATGGTTTTCAAGAAACAAGGAACCCAATGCCCTCTGTTCTCGTATAATCCTGACAACCAATCTTTTTCATACAAACCATACGTATCAATCATCATTATCCACCCGTCTTTGAATTCTTCTCTGGACTGCGAATCGTGTACCAGCCCATGTATAGCCCCAAATATCAAAGCCTCATCCGCGTGGTATCCAAATTTTTCTGACAACTTCTTTAAAGTATTTCACAAACACCATATGTACTTCATATTTGGAAACACAATCTAAATTGTATTTTACATGGTCCTATCTTGATCGGTAATTATTCCATGTGGATCTCGCCATGCATGCACTGAAGCCATGTCCAGAATAACCATACAAAAGTGTCTGTGTTTTCATTTGATAGTAGACCACAACCAAGCAGAGTTGACTGTCCATGGTGATTGACGCCAACAAAAGGGGCGAAAGGCATGCCATACTTATTAGTGAGATAAGTTGTATCAAAAGTGACCACATTTGCCCAGAACACATTTATAAATCGCGATTCATCATCCAAATCCATACTAAAGAAAAATCACGAACACTGTGCTTGCATTTTTTAAAGGTATGATTGTATTGCTGCAACATCTCCTTCTCCAAGTCTTAATCGCCTCACTTGTTCTACATAGTTCCCCTTCTCAATGCAAGTCATATTCTTATATCCTCCTGCTTCTACAACTGCAAAGTCTTAACTTTTATGAAACGAAATTCCTGCCACTTGAAGCTTCCGTTTCAAATTTGCACTCAAGTATTGATTGCATCGTAACAACTTTGACTTCGATGGACTTGTTTCATGATTGTGCTCGAGGTGGACTGCATTAATTTTCTAGTTTCCAAGAATATCACAAGATGCAGATATCCTGGCTTTACAACCCATCTGCACTGTCGGTTGTGGCTTCACTAAACTGCCACTATTACCGGGTCTTTGACCTTCACAACTGTATGTCAACGTTACATATCTCAAAACTCCGTCATCCCCCTTTTTCGAATTCCTTTTCTTAACTGAAAAATCAACGGCATAACCATACTTTTTTGTAGAAGTCACACATATCCTTTTCATCTTTAAATATCATACCCACCTCAGGCGCATTTACATCATCTCCCATTGATGTTTCGCCTTTCACTAATTTTGTGGACTCGGTAACAATCTCATTATCAGATTCAACCAAAACATCATCATGTTGATTTTGCAAATCGTCCATACTTTGTGAGTTGTGATAAAAAACAATTTCACATTTAGTATTAATTGTTGTAACTCAAATAATTCTCCGTAAATCTTAATTATTTTATTTTTTGTTTTCGTAAATAAAGTAAACATTACAAAAAAGAAGTTCATGCACCATGGTAAAATTTGGTGAGCAAATCATAACAATGAATAAATTGATAACAGTGACTTCAATTACAAAAAATATTATGCAAACACCTATTGTACTACTCCCTTGTTGTGCCCCTTGTATATTTGATCGATCATTCAAATTTCAAGATTCAACAAAATGTAGTCCATTGATAGTATTATAAATAACCCAACAAAAACTATTCAATTTACTTACTAGTCCTATCTCAAGTTCAATCCAACATTTTCCCATTAACAGATAACAATTTTTTTGTAAAGCATACACTCCCCTGCTTCGCATAAAGAAATTCTCATCATAGTAACCACTTTCTTCTGCCCCGTTTATTTCTCTCTCTCTCAGATACACAAGTGCACTCAATGCTACCTTGTTCATTTTATATACTCACAAATTAAGAGTCATTGGTCTTTTGAGCTTGTCTAGTGGAGTTCATTACAATCAAGATTGTTGCTCTATACATGGGGTTTTCTTTTGTTATGGGAGCCGAACAAGGCGTATATTCGTCAATAAAAAATTACAAATTTTGAAGTTAATAATTTTTACTGTAATTAATTACTTTACAAAATGGTGAGCTGGTGAAGATTAAAAGGAGACCGTAATTAGTGCATTAATTAAAAAATTTCAATTAATTTCAAATTTCCAAAAAATCAAGCAAAAATGTGCAATTCATTACGAAAAACAAGGTGAAATTTACCCACCTAAATTCACTCGCCATCGAAGCCGATGTTATCGTATTTTCTGTCGCCTAACAAATCTTGGCTTGCAATGAAGTCGGTATCGTCTCAAATGGTGGGTTTAGGTCGCTGAATTAATTTTGGAAATGGTTTTTGGCTGGCTGCAAAAGTGGAGAGAAAAGAAGCCCTTTGTTGTACAATAATGAGTAGCTGTCTAATTTTTCCTTGTCATTCTTACTTCCCTCCAAATGGTAGTACCATTATTGAGAAAAAAATGATTGTGAAATGAAAAGGGATGGAAGTCAACATGCCACATTACCACGTCTGAATTTTCAAAATTCTGGATTTCGCCCTGTTTAGAAGATTGTAACAGTAGCACTATTGCTCAACTAGTTCTCAATTCTTCTCATTGAATCAATCAATTTAAACATTGTTGATTTCTAAATTTGAATTAAGGGTCTTATTGTCACAGAAAAGAGGTACTATTATTAAATAACAAA